GCCGACTATCCCCCTTACGAGGGTCCGCACGTGGAGTCTTTAGACGAACCTTTCAGCACGGCTGATGTGAGGGAGGTTCTCATGAAACTGAATAGTCGATCAGCCCCAGGCCCGGATGGTATCTCAAATTGAATTCTGTGTAATCTGGACGATGCTTCCATACAAATACTCACGGATGAGATTAACAAGGTATGGGAACAGGGCACTGTCCCGGAATCGTGGAAGCTGGCGTAGATCATCTTTATCCCGAAACCGGGACGTCCACTGAACCTTTGTAATCTAAGACCCATATCGCTTACATCTTGTATAGGAAAGGTGGCCGAACACGTCATTAATAGCCGCATTACTCAACACATTGAAGACCATGGCTTATTTCCGTACAACATGATTGGCTTCAGACCGGCATTATCGACCCAAGATGCCATGAAGTTGATCAAACACCAGATTATCGACGTTAAAACGAGAGATGTCAGAGCAATCTTGGGACTAGATTGAGAGAAAGCTTTTGACAATCTCTCCCATACTCATATTCTCAAATCCATCTCTACTTTTGGCTTGGGCATAAAATCCACACATTCATCAGCTCTTTCCTCAAAAGCAGAAAGGCTGTGATTAAGATAGAAGATCCGAAATCGGAACCCTTCGTTCTTGTCTCCAAAGGTACGCCACAGGGTTCAGTGGTCTCACCACTTCTGTTCAATATCACTATCTGTGAGCTTTCCAAGAGGCTCTCGCAAATACAAGGCATATGCCATACCCTTTACGCCGATGACATCACTGTCTGGTGCACGGGTGGCAGTGAGGGTAGAGTAGAAGAGGCACTCCAACAGGCTGTAGAATACACCAAAGCTTTTCTTAGTGGCACTGAACTACGACTCTGTCCAACAAAGTCGGAACTTTTGCTTTACAGACCTAATAGAAGGGGTGTAAAGCCTCGAGGCTGGGTTCCCCTTCCAGATATCAATATAGTGCTTTGCACCAGCTCTGGTCTTATCATCCCTAGGGTAGAGGTAATCAGAGTACTTGGAATGCCTATAGAGGCAAATGGCACAAATGGACAGACCATAAACAGGCTCACAGCTAAAACGTCAAGCATGATTCGGCTTATTCTTAGGGTCTCCAACTCAAGAGGTGGCTTGAGAGAGGACAATTTACTAAGGCTATTCCACGCTTTCTTAATAAGCCACATTACTTACGTTGCTGCCATGCACTGTTGGCAAAGTCATAAAAAGGCTAAGATTAATCTCCTGATCCGCAAGAGCATGAAAAAAGTGCTAGGGGTCCCTTCAGGTACCAGTACGGAACGCCTCATGCAGTTGGGTATACACAACACGTTGGAAGAGATCATCGAGGCACAGCATACGGCTCAGATGGCCAGTCTCTCCTCCTCAGCTGCAGGAAGGAGCATCCTGACAATCCTAGGGTATAGTGCGGTAGAAGAGGAACGTAGTCAGTCTCTCACTAAGAAGCAAAGGGCCAACATTATGGTCACTCCATTCTCCCGCAACGTACATCCGCAGCACAACGCGAACAGGCAGAAGGCCAGGGGTAAAGCACTGCTCAAGAGTGTTCGTGCAAACCCGGAGTCTGCATGCTTCGTAGACGTGGCACAGTACGGTTGAACAGCCAACTTCTTGGTCATTGCAATTGACCACGCAGGTTGTGTTATTCACTCCACGTGTATCAGGAACACCACTCCCACTAAAGCTGAACAGGTAGCCATAGCTCCCGCTCCCCTTGACGACTCCCGGCAACACATCTATACAGACTCACGAGCGGCAGTGCGAGCCTTTGCATATGGATCAATATCGGCTGAGGTAGCTCGCATCTTAGGTAATAGGGATATTTCAGAACACGCCATAATTTGGTTTCCGGCTCACCTCGGATCATATCTGGCCTCCATGGCAAACCTAAACTAGATCGCCCATGCCCGAGCACGCGAACTTACTCACCGTGCTGGGCAGCCTGCGGGACCTTCAGACTTCAACCTAATGGTTTTTAGGGATGTTCTCCTCACTTTCAACGAGATGACCAAACATTATCAGCTGGACAGAAGGATTTTCTCTCTTCCTCATATGCAACATTGTAGGGCCCAGGCATCTACCCTCCACATGCTTCAAACCAGGTCGTACCCCAGTCTTCGTTCCCACAGCCAGTTTATTGAAAGCATTAATCCAACATGCCCAGATTGTGGCGCCGTATTTACGTTAGAACACATGCTCTAGCAGTGCCCCTCATCACGCGATTCTCGGCACATGGCCGAAGAGGAATGAAGCTCTGCGCTCAGGAGTTCAGAACTTGCACATCAACTCTGGGCTGTCTAGAGGGCTCACGACGTGGCGGTGAGGCTCAGCCTACCCGTTCCGACGTGGGAGCGGCCCGCTGCTCTACCTCCTTGAGGTAGTGGTTCCTCAGGACCTTAATAAAGGTCTCTCCTCTCTCTCTCTCTCTCTCTCTCTCTCTCTCTCTCTCTCTCTCTCTCTTCTCGTGGTCGGTCGGTCGGTCGGTCGGTCGGTCGGTCGGTGGGTATCGGTTCGGCTCGGGGCGGTCGGTCGGTCGGTCGGTCGGGTCGTCGGTCGGCGGCGGTCGGTCGGTCGGTCGGTCGTCGGTCGGTCGGTCGGTCGGTCGCGTCGGTCGGTCGGGTCGGTCGGTCGGTCGGTCGGTCCGTCGGTCGGTCGGTCGGTCGGTCGGCGGTCGTCGGAGGTGCGGTCGGTCGGTCGGTCGGTCGGTCGGGTCGGTCGGCGGTCGGGCGGTTCGGTCGGTCGGTTCGCGCGGTCGGTCGGCGGTCGGTCGGGCGGTCGGTCGGTCGGTCGGCGGTGGCGGTCGTCGGTCGGTCGGTCGGTCGGTCGGTCGGTCGGTCGGTCGGTCGGTCGGCGGTCGGTCGGCGCGGCGTCGGCGTCGTCGGTCGGTCGGTCGGCGGTCGGCGGTCGGTCGGTCGGTCGGTCGGCGGTCGGTCGGTCGGCGGTCGGTCGGTCGGCGGTCGGTCGGTCGGTCGGTCGGCGGTCGGTCGGTCGGCGGTCGGTCGGTCGGTCGGTCGGTCGGTCGGTCGTTCGGTCGGTCGGTCGGTCGGTCGGCGGCGGTCGGTCGGTCGGTCGGTCGGTCGGTCGGCCTGCCTGCTGCCTGCCTGCCTGCCTGCTGCCTGCCTGCCTGCCTGCCTGTCTCTCTCTCTCTCTCTCTCTGTCTGTCTGTCTGTCTCTCTCTCTCTCTGTCTGTCTGTCTGTCTGTCTGTCTGTCCGTCTGTCTGCCTACCAAGTAGCCCAACAACTAGTGCTACTCGCGTTGACACTCGACTCAGATTCCACTCTAGGTTTTGTCGTATGATTTTTTACGCTGAACCTGTGGCCTTCGCAATCATCATCAGCAGTGTGCTTGCCAATCACCGAGGACACTGTGATGTGAAAACACTCGCTGGCTTTGGTCGTTTTGGTAAATGCGGGGACGACCGGTGTGGCCAGAGCTAATAAAATTGTACGGCGTTATGAGACTTTACCATGCGGGGTTAGCGCATTCGCCACGGCGTCTTGGTAAAAAAATTGCCCGCAGCTTCCCTCGGGGGAACACTGAGGAGGATGCGGACCATATAATTGGTTAACGGGGTGTTAAAGTGCGACTTACTTGGGTCGATGGCTAAATTGGTTAACGTGGTTGTGAAATGGGGTGTTAAATTGCGACTTACTTGGGTCGATGGCTAAATTGGTTAACGTGGTTGTAGGAGGGGGTGTTAAATGAGTGAACACGTACACACGTATGCGAAAGGGCGGCGCTGGTCGAAGGGACGTCGATCATTGTGTTTGTGGATTCGTTGGAATTCATTTCACCGCGACCTTGGACGTCGACGCGCCGTACAAACCAACCGACAAGCGGCAACTGAGCGAGCGAGCGCCGACCTTGAGTATATATACAGCACGACGGCGCATGCACTGTCGGCTGTTGAATGTTCTCGAAGCGCGACGCCACATGCGCGTCCACTGGAGAATCAGGAGAATTGTAGATGTCGAACGCGGTGTGTAGAGGAGGAAGGGTGCACAGATGGTGGAGGAGTGAAGCGCGCGCGGTGTGTAGAGGAGGAAGGGATGCACAGATGGTGGAAGAGTGGGCGACGGCACGACGGCGCATGCGCGCGCGTCAGCTGTCGAATGTTCGAGAAGCGGTGCGGACGGCGCACTACAAGGCGCGAGTATAAGATGCTCCGCATCTAAAAAAACTGACGAATTGTGGCGCGCCGGCGCCGTGCCGCCTTTATGGCGCAGCAGCGGCGGCGTGCCCCCTCTCGAAACTTCGGCGGCGGTGTCAAGCGGTGCGAAGAAATCAGGTGGCGGCAGCGGCGCACAGGTCTAGGCACAACAATGGCCATGTCACGCGGCAAAGCAGTTCCGCGATGTGAAGCAACTCATAATGTCGCATGCTTGGCAATAAACTGGTTTTCTGCTCGGTTTCATAGTCACACTTGTATTTCTTACAGTTTCTATAAGTTTCCACTCTGCATCCTGGCAGGCTGCTGCTGAAACACAAAATTGAGGCAGCTCAAAGCAGAAAGCAAAGCACACCAATGTTTCGGGCTGATTTGCATTTTCGCTGCTCTCAGTGTCAAAATCTGGCCAAAAAAGCGGCATCCTCAAAATCACTGCGGCTCATTAAATTGATAAAGTCATCTGCAAACACCCCAGAATGCAGATACCTGTGATAATTTGAAGCTCAAGCACGCTGCATTTGGCAGTGACCATGTTCACTTTCAACTTAGATGATCACACAGCTTCGGGGCGCATCCAGAAATCAAAACCACATGGCAAAAAAAGAAACTGCATAAAAAAGAAAACTATAGCGATTCTCCTTTACGACAAATGGTGCAGTATGTCCATGAACAGCACGGAATGTCTCGAAAGCGGTGATTCAAAGTTCAAAGCATCAATAGTGGGCTATCGATGCTATCGATGGGGGTGATGTGGACAATGTTAAGCATGAAAAGTAAGTAAGAGCTTGAAACAATGAATCCAACTCACCACTAATACCACTTGAGTGCATGCCACTGGTAGAACCATCAGGAACTTCAATAGCAACATCTATTGGAACAGAATTTTCATTCGATACTGAAGTAGGACTTCCAGCTCGCTGACTCTGAGTAAGGCAGCGGCGCTGAAGATCCTTCAGTTCCGTCCGTTTCTGATGCAGCCTAATGAGAATAGCCCGTTGTCTCTTGCGCAATGTTGGCAATCTTTCTTCCGAGCCTTTCTCTCGACAATTCCTGTCAGAATAAGTAAAAAGAACACACATCATTTGGAACAATAATCAAATGTCACAGAAAAAGCAAAATGCCACAAAAATATGGAATGTCTAGAGTAGGCAGCACAAACTCATAGAGAATGCAGGAAAGGGCAAAAGATGTCTGCCCGCAACTTGACACACTACCCCAGAAAGGCAATACTGCCATAGAGTGAAAGAAAAACATTTGAGCACAGCATGATAAAAACTTTACACGTAACACGACACCAGTTTCAAGAGAGACAATACCAATCATAATAGCAGTAAACATAACAAGATTTAAACATGACACAATGCTAAAGTGATCATACATTATGCAAGAAAAAATTTACTCTAGTCAGCCTATTTGAGGCATGTAAAAAGTAGAGCTCAAAGTTTTGTTCAAACTAGTATAGTTGGTACCTTCTATTGAACACGTGCAGAACCAAACATGTTATACTATTTGGCAAATGTACATTGTACGAACTAAGCCTCCTCCCTTTGCTTTATGGCAAGCATATGAAGCACTCTGTGAATGCAATCTGAGTTCATTAAATTATTCAGGCCCTTCTCATACTATGATCAGTGTGTCCCTCAGCAAATTTACCCTTGATGATATCTGAAACTGAACACTATAAATCACAATAATAGTGGTTCCCGAGTACCACTGCACAAGATGAAGAAGTGCCTAGCTCCCAGCCACATATGGCAGAGGACTAACCAGGAGGCTTAACCTGTTCTGCAAGACTGCCACACAAGTTTCTTAGTTATTCGAGTCTCTCCCTTTGTGCTGTGTGAACAAACCTGAAGCGGTACACATTTTAAGTGTGGTGGAGTGAGAAATTTGTTGCTGTAGTCTGCACCGAGCCCAAAATCAGCACTAAGGAGGCACTAGTAATAGACCATTCAGCAGCAATAACAAATCACTGAAATGCTGAAACATGTTGCTGAAACATGTCTACTATTATGAGGCATGAAATAGTATCCAATGTTTCGTAAAAAGCTCTACTTAGATTTAGCAATTTCAATAATTACAGATTAGTTAGAGCAGGGGTTGTCAAGGATGTTGGTCCCCCAAAATACTGCCCCCCCCCCACACCCTCCCTGTTTTCATGTAAACGTGATTCATTTGGTTCACGCTACATTCATATGTATGCAATAAATTTAAAAACAAGTGAACAAAAAAAGTTCATTCGCTCACATCCAATTCACTTTCCTTGTGCCAATTAATCGCAAATCGATGCAAGACTGAGTAACACTCATGGCAAGCTGCAGGTCAGCTGCTGGAGTCAGCAGATTCCTGTGCTCATTTTTCTGATAGGTAGTTTTGAGAACGCCTGCTCACAAGATATGTTGTCGCAAATCGCTGCAGCATGTTCACTGCTTTATCTTTGGCATCTGTCTTGAAGCAGGACACATGCATATGGGGGTAATATAAGGCCTCCACAATTCAAGTGCAATAGCTTAACCGCGCGGCCCATTTTCAGAGTCTGGCTGGCTAAGCGCTGCTGGCCAGATTTTTGGCATAGCTTGCTCACTTCTGTTATGCACTGAGATGTACTTATTGTCACTCAGGTGCGATAATAGAGGCTCCTTAGATCGATGACACCTCAGTTTCGCCATCTAAGGGACTTGGCAGGTGCGGAACCGGGAAAATTTATTAGTGGCTCGCGGAACCCAGAGCAGCGGCCTGCAGAACCCACTATGACAAATCAGGAGTTAGAAAGTTAGACATTTTGGATGCTACACAGAAACACGCTGTAATTAGCATTCGTAACGTTTCAAATATTCTCACAGTTCAGTGAGCACAGGCTTCATTACAAGAACTAATGCAATACTAAATTGTACTCAAAAAAAAGATCCAAGACGAAGGCTAGCAAAAACAGCTGCCACTATCAATCCTTCTCATGGTTTCACGTATATCAGTCTTCATTGTTTCCAGCCACACATCCTATTACTGTATCCTTATCTGCTCAACATAGATGCGGGCAAAAAACTGTTTTTTTTAATAAAGAGTCTCTCTCTTTTTCTCTCTCAACATAGACAGGAATACAGTAATAGAATGCAGTCATTAATGAATTTGCTACTAATTACATTATCACCCCTTCACCTGCAGCACCCCCTTTCACTAGGGAGAAAGTCTGTAGGCTTCCTGCATGAGCCTGTTAACAAATCAGAGTGCCACTCTTCTGTGAGTGACCTCAGCTGGGTTATTCTACTGCCAAGCCACATTTGAGTGCTCTTTGTGAAAGTTGTTCTGTGCCTTTGACATAAGTCGGAAAACTCACTTGTTAGTCGACTCACTCAGACTCATCAGATCGCGCTGTGAATCTTAGCGAGTCCGGGTGAGTAATGTTTTGGCGAGTTTGATTCGAAGAAGCTCATATTGTACTAACGGACTCACTCGGACTCAGATCGGGCCGTGACTCTGAGTGAGTTCGGGTAAATAATGTTTTGGCGAGTTTGATTCGAAGAAGCTCATTTTGTACTAACGGACTTAAGAGTAGACTCACTCGGACTCGCTAAGACTCAGATCGGGCCGTGAACCTGAGTGAGTCCGGGTGAGTAATGTTTTGGCGAGTTCGATTCGAAGAAGCTCATTCTGGACCAATGAACTGATGAGTTGACTCACTCAGACTCATATCGCGCTGTGAATCTTAGCGAGTCCGGGTGAGTAATGTTTTGGCGAGTTTGATTCGAAGCTCATTTTGTACTAACGGACTCAAGAGTAGACTCACTCGGACTCACTAAGACTCAGATCGGGCTGTGAATCTGAGTGAGTCCGTGTGAGTAATGTTTTGGTGAGTTTGATTCGAAGAAGCTCATTCTGAACCAACGGACTCATAAGTCGACTCGACTCAGACTCAGATCGGGCCGTGAATTTGAGAAAGTCTGGTTGAGTAATGTCTTGGCGAGTTTGATTCGAAGAAGCTCATTCTGGACCAAAGAACTCATGAGTCGACTCACTAGGACTCACTCAGACTCAGATAAGGCCGTGAATATGAGTCTCAGCGAGTACAGGTGAGTAATGCTTTGGCGAGTTTGAGTCCGAGTGAGTCCAAAGCTCAAAATATAATTCATAAGTGAAGCACAGTGAGCTCCACAAGTTTTGCCGTCCTATGGCCTTTGAAAAGCCTTCACTGCTCAAATTTTTCAAACAGTACAAATCTGCAAGTTTTCTTTGGTGTCACTGTCCTAGGAGGCTTCATTGTACTCTTCATAGTCAATGTTGTACACTCTGACCTCATTATAAGAAAGTTGCATCGTACCCGAAAGTAACTCTCTTACCCAAAAATAACTCTGTTATATATGAAAATTTATGAATATATGAATATATTGTGAGCATTATTGATACGCGTCATCTTATGATATGTACATACTCATCATCATCAGTCTGACCTGTGTTATGGGGCAGAGGCTCGGCAAGTAAAAGAAGTGTCTTGCAGCCAAAATGTTGCCTTACAAGTGGTGGAGGTGGGGCGTATATGGACTGAAGCTTTGGTGGACACAGGTGCATCACTCTCAGTTATTAGTGTGGACTTGTGTTCCGGTTTGCACAAAGTAAAGACACTGATGGCCCTCCCCTTCGCTGTGCTAACACGGTTTTTGTTCAGCCTTGTGGTGTTTGCACAGCACGAGTTTTTATTGAGGGCATCCTTCACAGTTCCTCGTTCTGTCATAGTGTACCAATGCGCTCATTTTAGGATGGGACTTTCTCTCCTCAGCTTCAGCCGTGATATCTTGTCGTCAGAGGGTCATTCGCATGTCAGATACTGCGCTTTCATCTGATAACTATGCCCATAGCCAGCGTTTCGTCACTGCTGATGACTGTTTTATTCCTCCAGGTAATGAGCATATTCTGACCCTGACATCAGATAAGATTGGAACTGGTGATGTGTTCCTAGCACCGTGTGGACGTTACATCTCTGGTGGACTTACCATCGCTCCTAGCCTGGTGCGCTTTCGTGATGGCAGAGCATTAGTTACGGCAGTTAATCCCACTTCATTCCCTGTTGCACTGCCCCAGGGCACCAGTGTGGTTTGCTTCACAGATACCGAACCACTTTCTCTGGTGCCCCTACACGCAGACTCGCCATCTTTCTCTACGAGTACTGATGACCATGCTACAATGGCTGCTTCAACAGCCACAATAAATCCCAATCTCACGTCAGCGCAAAAGCAAGAACTTTTGGGTATGCTTCAAAAACACAGCGCTTCATTCGATGTATATTCCAAGCTTCTGGGTCGCACTTCTGTCGCCATGCATCGAATTGAAATGGAAGGCAATACAATCGTACGCCGCCGCCCATATCGAGTGTCGTCCGCAGAGGGGAAAATCATCGAGGACAACGTTGCTGATATGCTCAAACGAGATGTTATCCGACCTTTGTCCAGCTAGTGGTCATCACCTGTAGTGCTAGTCCGAAAAAAGGATCGTTCAGTGCGATTCTGCGTCGATTATCGAGATCACGCGCAAGGACGTCTACCCGATGCCACGAGTCGACGACGCACTTGACTCTCTGCAAGGCACTGAATTTTTCTCCAGCCTCTATTTATGGTCTGGTTATTGGCAAATACCTATGAACGAAGCGTATAAAGAAAAAACTGCCTTTCCAACACCAGATGGGCTGTATGAATTCAACATCATGCCATTCGGTTTATGTAACGCTCCTGCCACGTTTGAACGCATGATGGACACAGTTCTACGCGGCCTAAAATGGAAAACATGTCTCTGTTATCTAGATTGCATTGTCATTTTCTCCTCTTCTTTTTGTCAGCATCTTGATCATTTGGACGAAGTTTTGACGTGTATTTCTAGTGCTGGACTTCAGCTGAACACAACAAAATGCCATTTTGCCAACAAGAACATCAAGGTGTTGGGCCACCTTGTCAACAAAGATGGCGTTCGTCCGGATCCTGACAAGCTTGCTGACGTAATTAGCTTCTCTCGGCCAGAAAATCAGAAACACCTACGAAGTTTCCTGGGCCTGGCATCCTACTTCC